AGTCTGATCAGCTTGTAGTGTTTAGAGAGAGGAATTAGTCCCAGAACAGAATTCAGGGTTTTGTGATTTCCACTCTGGTATTTAGCTCGTGCCTCTCGAGAAAGCAAGGCAAGTCAGCAGGCAAGGCAACTACATTGGAATTTTTGAAAAAGCCCCCAGCCACTGTGTGGTATTTAGGCATCTAGTTAAAAATCTAGCCCATAGCAAAGCAGACGCAATTCTTAAATCCAGTACTTTCTGCTGGCTGAAAAGAATAAAAAAGTTCAGTTCAGTTCTGAGTTCTGAGTAAAAGCATCTAAACAAAGATTTCATGCATTCTAACCAATTTCCTTTAAAATTACATCAGTGGAATCTGCATGAACTTCTCAAACACAACTATGCAGACTAGCCCTCCACTTAGCCACCACTGATTGGAGATGGAATCGCGTTTCGCTAATGAGTCTGAAAGACAATGAAACAGAAATATAAAATAAAAAATACCAACATGACAGTTCTTCAAGTTGATGCTTCCTGGTTGCCAGAATTAAAATAAGTAAATCAATTCATTCTGTTGTTCAGTAGCAGAATGTAATCATATGTTCCGAGAAGCATGAACATTTAAATATTATAAGACTTCGAAGTCTGTGACAAAGAGTAACAGACGTTTCTGTGCAAGTTTAAAAAAAAACAAATACAGAGCACAAAAACTGGATTCTCTCCACTTCATGGTAATTCCCCTGCATTCCCTCCCTTCCTCCTTCCCTCCCTCCAGTGAGGTTAATTGTAAGCAGATTTACAAATCTGAACATTGTTTCAGTGCACTGAGGCAATCTGGAACAATAATTCTGTGCCTTTATAAATGTAATTTTGCTTTACTAGAGCTCATTGCAGATGAGGTTTATGCCAGTACAGAGGGCTTCGCTGCATCACACCCCGGTACACGTGCTGGGTATGTGTCTGAGGGGGACCCCAAAGACCATCAAGCACAGTGGCAGTCCTTGCGGCCTGCAACTTTTATAAAAGAGGATGGAAGTGGAAGAGCTGCTGGGCTAAGCTGAGCAGTTGTGGCAGAAGGAAGCTCCATTTTCTTCCCCCTTGTACCCTGCAATAAATCCCGTTTAGGTTTTCTTTAAGGGCAGGCTTCACCTTACAAAGCGTATGTTCCAGCATCCTGCTTGAAAGAGTCCATTATTGTGGAGAGTTTTGCCCAGCTTCCCGCGTGCTGCCTTAATTGCGGGAGGCAGCGCGGTACGTGTGACCTCTCGCCAGCTCCTGAGGACCGAGGTCCGTGCATCCAGGCAACAGCGTGCTTCTTGCTGACACCTGGGGTCAGGCCAAGGATGGTGCTTCAACATCAGCTTAGAGATCACGTAAAAGAAGGGCAAAGGTTAGTTTCCTAAGGCTCTCTATCACATAATGAGCCACTGTCAGCCTCAGCAGCCTTCTCACTTCAGCGGCAGCCAAAAAAAAAAAAAAAAAATCCTGTGCGATCACCATTTGTCTCTACATGTTAATTAAAAAAATTAACAGGCTGGAAGGGTAAGAAGGATAGAAACGGTTTGGAGTGGGGATCAGAGCCTCAGCTGCACCTACATGCTCCTGAGCACCCACACATGAACTAACCCATACAACCAACCCAAAACCCGATGCGGTGCTGGTGGAGGGACTGGCTCCGGGCTCTTACACTGAGAGCTGCAGCTCAGGTTGCAGGGACACAAGCTCAGCAGTTTCTGAAGGAGGGGGATCAGATGAAAGACAGCGGGGCTTTATTTCAAGCTGTGTTTTGCCCTGTTGTAGGATGATAAGACAGATATCAGTAAGCCGTTTCCCCTCACACCCTTTGTCTTGTCTATTTGGAGCACAAACTTTTTGCAACAGGGACTGCACAATGAAAGACAGTCCCTACACTAGTGGGATCCAGTTTCAGCGGGTCTTGCAGATACTATCGCAAAGCAAATAGCTCCACTCCTGCCCTGGAGGCAGTCTTGTTACTGACCTCTCTTGATCAGATCTGGGGAGTAACATGGGGTAGAAGATAACTTTTTTTTCCCCTACACGAACAAAACAACCTATAAAGAAATGCAAATTTGGTGCATTCCTTTATCATCTCACTTCATTCTCTAAAACAAGATAAAAGCATACAAGAAATGCTCAGCACCTCTTCTCTTCCAAAACACTGTACCTCCATTCTTACCTTATCACACTGGCTAGGCAGCCAGTTCTCATCTCATCTCTGATATGTGTGTGAAACGCTCATTAAGCTCAAAATGGAGTCCATATGCAAGTATTTTGCATGCCCTTTAAAGGCAGAACAAGCAAACACAGGACTGTAGCATTTAAGCACAGATTATTCTGTATACTGAAATTCTGCATTTACTCTTCCTTAGCTCCTGGGAACAGACCTTGGGGTTCCTATTTGCAGCTGCCCACCACGACTACTTTCCCCATTTGGGGCTGGGTTGAGTACTGTAGGCTTGTTTCCCTATGAGATTTCTCTGATACTTTTTTTTCTGTCCTTTGTTCATGGCTTTGTTCATTACAAGGTAACAGAACTGTAAGACAGAAAAACAAAATGTGAATAAGGTGCTGGGGGAAAAGGAAAACTTCTATCTGGTAAGAAAAAGCCCACTGACAAATGTGCCTTTGTTTACATAAACTTCTAAAGAAACGGAGTTGAAACCTGGAGACATGTATGAAAGAAGGTCAGATAAGAAAATAGCTTTGCAAATCTCTTAAGAGATGAAAAGCTCCTATTTATGAAGGGATAACACGGAATAACTTCAGACTTAAGTTCTTAAACCCAGAAGACAAGACACACTGCATTCAAACTGATGACATTTAAAATAATTTCTCTACTCCTTTGCAAATGCCTTCTACAGAAATGCAGCCAGAGGATATCCCTCACTTCTCCCCAGTATCCTCTGTTCCCCCTCCAACCTGCTAGCCCCCTTTCGGTGCCTGTAGTGGTTTGAGATAAAGGCAACTGCCAAAGGGCAATTTCACTCAGTTCACCCAAGGAAACAGGCAGAGCAAAACCTTAACTCTTGCTGGCAAAGCTCTAGCTACCCTATGGGAGAAAACAATCCATCACATAAAAGGCAGTAAGTCTTTATACTTTACCCTAAGTAACTTTGGTTAATGTGTTAGAAATACTGCTGATATTTCCAAAAACTACTCTGATGTGATGTTACAGCATTTAATAAGATTACTACTTCACGTCAGCAATAAAATCCTTAAGAATTCAAGACCAACAAGCCCTCAGGTGAGAAAAGCATTTTCTTCTCTTCCAAACTGCATCATACTGATTTTAGCAAGGAAAAAAGCTTCACGTGCACAGATATATATGCCATCAAATACCTATCAATAAACCTCCTCATTCAATCTTACATTTTTGTATTTAGCCTACCTTATCCTTTATTCCCGTCATGGTCTCCACTCCAGTAAATCTATACATAAGTAGAGATAAGTGCACTTCAGGCACGCATGAAAACTAGAAAACCCAACAAGGACAAGCGAAATCATGGAAATCCTAAGACCTCCTCCCCCAGTTGCTTGAAACTTGATGTTGGCCCTTTTCAATAACCACAATTTCAGATTTCCATGAAAAGGAGTTGGAAACACTGCAAAGTGGTCCTAAAGATGTATCCGGTTCTTTCTCTGCTCCTCAACACTCTTCCTCGGAGAGGAGAGGAAGGAGAGAGTGGGAGAGAGAAATAGGAAGCAAACAGGAGGGACCAGTGTGACTCTGGGACCGCTTCAGCTCCTGCCCAAGTACAGAGAAGGGAACTACTGGGAAGTCCCATGCAATGCAGGAAGGAGAAATGCTGAGGATGAGAACTGGTTTAAGTCACAGTTCAGTCATAAATATCTCATCAGTGTCAATTATTTTTTCCTCTGGTCTTAAGTGTCTCCATGGAACTCCTGTGGGTGAATTAAAGTAAAGAAGTGGTACTGGGCATTTTTTCCCCCTCTCTTATGCACACATTGCAAATTTCTGTAGTGTTTTATTATTGGAATTGATCTACTGAAATCAGGAACATCACTGATAGAGGCAAAAACTCTCAACAATCAAACAAATCACTACACCAAAGACTTTTTTGTACTGTAATCACTCCAATCAAAAATAAGAACGTGTCAGAAGCATTACCCCACGGGGATTTGAGAATGGCTTTTTTAGCTAAACTTTCATGCTTGACAGGGATATCAATAAACTGGAAAAAGAGAAAAATGGCAGATTTCTACCTAAATATTTTAAAATGTTAATTTAAAGGGCAAACCAGAGATTTCTAGAAAAGATGGGAGAGGAAAATCCTTTGGGGTTTTTGTGCACTTGGCAGCACTTTTACATAGTCAGGTTTACTGGCTTTGCAGGTTTCAAAGAGGATTTGCCAGCTTGTTTCACCTGTCAGAGAGGCTCCAACCAGTAAGAACAGAAGACTCAAGGCTGTTGTACCGTCACTTTTGTAAAACGGCACAAACTGGTGCTACCACTAAAAGAAGGACCTCAGGACAAGCACCTGTGGGAAGCCCTTGTGAAACGACAGCCTGGGCTGACAACAAGCCCAGCAAAGCCGTGAGCAGGTCTGCAGGGCAGAGGGAGGACTGAAACTGAGCTTAAGAAGCCAGTGCTGTTCCCCTTACGCCCTTGCGCCAAGAAGCCATTTCTAGAGCGGATGGGACATAATCCAATCTTAAAGCAAGTATCTGTGGGTTTGTTCTTTTAGAAAACCTGGTGAAATTACCCAGTTGGGCATTCTCATCCCCACACAGGGTGGCCACACTGCACAGGCAGTGTGCTGCACTGGAAGTTCTTAACTGATGGCATTTAGGCTGCAAAGTTAAGGACTCAGAAGTTCGCAAAGTACAGGTCTGAAGTTGTGTACAAAATCCATACTCCTTTCTCTGCATATGAATGCAGATACTGGCTTCAATCACAAAATTGCATAGTATTTTTCTCCCTTGGGACTGCCACATATATGTAGGATATGACAAACAATAAATTGTTTCTGAAGACAACTTACATTCTTTGGACATTCCCACTTCAAAGCACTTCTGTAGTCTGCAGTACTGGCAGCGATTTCTGGTAACTTTATTGATAACACAGTTTTTATCTCTGTGACATGTGTAAACCATGTTCTTCTGGATACTCCTGCGGAAAAAGCCCTGAAATCAAGGGGGAAAAAAAAAAAAATCAAATAAACTGTTGAGCTTCCCATAACCCTTAGAGACAGGCACTAACATTGCTTTAAAATAACAAAATAAATTCAAAGTTATGGCTGGAGTATGGCATCTTTAAAGACTCAGTCTTAGTATAATTTAGTACTGTTTCTTGCAACATAAGACTCATCTCTTAAATAAAAACTAATTAAATAATGCAACCTAAGGCCAAAATAAACAAAACTAGAACTAGTAACAGCATTCAGGAAATGAAGTCCTAGATTTTACAAAAAAGCTCAAATAAAAATAGTTTGGGCTTATGGATGTAGTAATGAGTTGGGTAAACAACAACTTTCCTGACAGATCCACTTGGAAGTCAAACACTAATCCAACAACCAACAGCCTCTCTCAGCCTAAAGGTCCCGTCTATTTTTGTTACTGCAGAGATTCTCTAGTTCGAAGGCTGCAAGTAAAAAGAGAAATAATTTCAAACCCAGGTCTCTTAGCTGCTGGAACTCCTACAGTAATTGAGGCTTCTGCAGGTGGAAAAGTTCCAGCATCAGGTTATTGAGTTGTGAATTTGTAAAAGTTGCCAATTACAGCATTTTTTTCTTATTCAGATGCAGCTGTGAAAATAATCAAGTAATTACAATGATCTTGAACAGAAATTAAAGAGAACTAGAGGTCTGGTTTGTACTTAAGGAACACCATTTGACTGGACTCCTCCTTCAGTAAGTGAAAGAGATAAACAGCCATAAATGGTAAAGTTAGCTGGCACGGAAAAAAGGCAAAAAAACAAGTTAATTTCTTTATCTGCACTAAACCCCAAGCTTTAGATAATATCAAATAATAATGAAGAAAAAAAAAAGAGGATTACTTTAAGCATTTTAGGCTCAACCCACAGATATTGAGCAAAAGTATTTCTGCAACGGACATTTGGAAATTTGACAGCACTATTTAACCTTCTCACTCAGATTTTGAAAATCGTTTCAGCACAAGCACCAGGGTCAAATTTCAGTCAACACTGTAGCATTATGGAAGAATAGTTAGCAATTCAATATTTGTTGGAGGGCTTGAGAGGTTAGAACTCTTCAACCAGCCACATGTTTACACCCTACAGGGAAGTGGTAAACTTGATGCCGCAGATGATAGGTCTGTGACCACAATGCATTTATCTAAAGATGCAATCATGGTAAGCTATAAAATTGGCTCTCCTAGAAGCACTCGCTGAGATATGTGAGTAGTTCAAAAGCCAAAACCCCTATCGTTCAGAGTTAACTGGGAGAGTTTCTGGCCATACCATCAGGGAGTGGTAGGGCAGGCACAGTCAGTAAGGGCTGGTCATAAATTCCTTGCACACCCAACATGCTATAGATGCTAATGTTATGAAAATACCTCAGATTCACTCAGAACTGAAAAATGCCTCCTTAATCACGTAACCCCTGGCAATAGTTTTCTGCGGCTCTTGCACAGGCAAGCCTTATCCTGAAGTTAGCTCCTCTGATTTAGAAGATACTTAATACTACCATCAGAGAGGTAAATAAGAACTCTTCACTTCTTTCTTTTCCTTAAGCTACTGGATACAGAAGAATAATTTAATGCTATTTGTTTAGACAATTAAAACCTTTTAAGTTATCAATAGCACTGCTATTTTATATTGCACACCTTTGATCATTAACACTGCTTGAATCTTTGCAATGCAAAGTATGGCAAGTGTGTATACATTTGTTTACTTGCTGAGAAGAAAATTTATGGTAATATTTACTTACTACTTTCTTACTTTGCTATTCCCCTAATTGCAATGCCCAGCTCTGCGGTAATTGCTGACAATGCTAACTAGAACAGTGAGGAGTCTATGACATCTATTTTGGTTTAACTCAACAGACAGAAAGTGTGAGCTGTGCTGGTTCAAGGGTCTCTATATGGCTTATTCAGTCACCACTTTTTAGTTGGAAAGAGGTGGGGGAAGCCAAGACAGGTAGCTTCCCCTGCAGCCACACCAGCTTAATCCAGTGCTGCATGTAAATTAACACCCACAGTCACCGATGGAATAACTCTCCTACCACCAGCCTGACAGGGCAGGAAACAAAATGGCCCAAATGAACAAAAATGACCCTCGTGCAGCAGCTGTCTCACCACACTGAACAACTGGAGTAATTTAAGAAAACCAGCCCCCAAAGCCTCCTCTTTGCTGGCACATGCTTTGGGGCAGAGACTGCCACGCATCCACGCTCAAGAGACTTCTGGTTTACTGACACAGGCACTTGAAACAAAATATGAGCTTCAAAAGTGTCACCCAATACAGGGAAAAGAGGAAACAGCCTCCTCCAAATATACCTGTACTTCACCAAAATACAACCAGTATCTAATGGCACCCACTGATTGATCTGTTGTTCTGATATTTAGATGCAGGTTCTGCATTCTTTTAACCCAGCGTTTAATTACAGCCCATCAGGAAGGAAAGCAGAGGAGGCTGTCTCAGTCCTTGCCATAGGAAGCTGACCACACAGCCCAACAGAAAAAGGTGATCCAACTCCTGCTGACAGCAAGTATAAAGCATTCACGAACTCATTACTAATATAAAAGGCTTAAGAAGAACAAACTCGGAAAAAGCAGATCTCCAGGTCAAAATGAAGACAGTTTCTTTAACAGCCTACCCTCCCCAGGCAACGTCCTACACATAGTGAAAGATATAGATGAGGATATTAATCGTGGAAGCTTAGACTGTTGCTTTACAAATTACTTTTTAACACTCGTATTTTCTTCCTGGAGTTACTGACAAAACAGAAAGAAAAATGAACTTATTTCTGTAAAATATGCAGGTGAAAAAAGGTATAATGTGGTCCTGCTCAAAACGAAGGACCTGTTTCTCAACAGTATGTTAGTGCCCACTCCCCAGGTACGCTTCCCTAAGACAACACTGGGATACTACTTCTACTAAGATTTGTGGCAAGCTCATTTTAAAACCTCAGCAACATGTCGCTGTAAAAATTTGATCTTCAAAATTTCCTCTGGACAAATACTAACAAAAATGCCCAGATTATAAATATTATTTTATTTCTTTGCATACACACCCCAAACCAAAGCCATCATAGGGGGAGTGACAGGAGTTCAAGCACCAGCAGGCGAGGAGCATTTGCTGGGCGCTGGGGCTCTAATTCCCCACCCACCTCCACAAGCCTGGTGCTGCAAAGCCGCCAAGTTTTGGGTGGCACTGCAAGTAGCGTCATGCCCAGAAACATTTCCCAAATCTGACACTGGGCTTAAAAAACAGACAACGTTCTGTCTATCCCTCTGTGGGGGTTTGTACCTCACCTGCTTTGGTCACCTGCAGCTCTGCAGTGAGAGAAAACCCTGCAGGACATGGGGATGGGCAGAGCGGGTGCTTGCTACCTGATTAAACAGAGAAGCACATTTAAACCATTTCAAGGCTGGGTTCCAGACAGCACAGGTATAATTAATACACTGGCCTGTTCACTAAAATCAGTAAAGTTAGAAGCAAGCCTAAGTCTTCCTCCAAGTGCTTTTTGTCAAATGAAGTCCATCTGATCGCACAACCCCAACAATTTCTTCAAAAACCAAGAAAATCTGAATGCAACCTAACCTTAAGAAGTTGTCAGAAACCTCAGAGACAGCAAAGCATCACTGCTTCTAAATTAACCAACTTGTAGCGCCTACTGGCTCTTGGAAAACAAGCTACTACTTACTGTAATACATTCACCTCAAAAGGAATCTGTTTGGCTGAATATTTACATGAGCAATTTTTTAATGCAAATATTTCAGCATCCCATCCAAATTAACACCCTGTGACAGGAGATGAGACACTCGTGGCAAAAACAAGCACAAATGATGCTTTTTTATTTGTAATTTAAAATGCCTTATGAATATAAAGAAAAAAACCATTCTGAGAGACATAAAGCATTACTGTCATACATAATTGTTTTTGATAGCACCTACAATGTACTTGAATTTGAAGTACAGGAAGCTACTGAAGGCCTATCAGAAACAGTGATTTGCTCTAATATTCCTTTTATCCACAACTTTTGAAAGGAACATGGATCTTGTGTTTTTATTTTAGCAAAGACAAACAAAGCTTTGCAGAAATCACACTTATGAATTAATTCCATCCCTCTGAGCTGCTTTTATCAGCACCTTTTAACACAAAGCATTTTGGACAAACATTTCGATTTTTAATCTCATCTTTCTGCACACCATGCCATGCTCCTCCCAGGCCCACCAATCTTGTTATCTTAATGGATGACAGATAGAGTATCACTCTGACCATGCCACATTAGGCGTCCTCATTTACCGAGTGCAAGGAAAAAATGCTGAGTATAAATTATTCAGAAATCTATTGTATCAGTGTGTGTTCTCTGAACATCCACCACTGGCAGAGCAGACAGATTATTTTTCACTTTTAATTGTGTTGATACCTTATCTGCTGCACTGAAAGCAGAGAGTGATATGTGAAACCGTATGTATCAAGCAGAAAATAAACCCAGTTTACTAGCTCTATTGCTTAGAACTAAATAACCTATTTAGTCAATCTAACTTCAACACAATGCCAAAAAACCCCACCTCATCCCACTCACCACTTACTTTTGTAGTATTTGCCGGTGAGTGTGTCAAAATCAGAGAGCTCAGTACAGAGCTCCCTCTCCTTCACTGTCCAGTTGATTTTGGCAAGTCAGATGATTTAGAGCTCAAGTTATGCACATTGCATGAAGAGATGGATCATTTGATCTCAACAACGTCTTAAAACTATTTTGCCAGCATAGGGCATGCCAAATCTTATTTGCAGATGTAGCGGGCTTACAAGTTGAAAACTTGCACTGCAAGACAGGGACAGGGTAATCAGCAGAGAAGGGCTATTGTGAGCTCAATCGGTTTGAACAGCCCGCTCAGTTCAGGTGGTTCAGCTTTGATTACCCCCAAATACAGGCAGCCAGCTATGACTCCGGCAGATTTAGAGGCCATTCTGTGGTAAATCTGCAAAATAAGCTGCT